AAGTTAGGGATGGTAACAATTTTGCGTACGTGCCGTAGTAACCACGTGTTTGATTTGAAGATGTAAGCAAGATCAAACGAAAGATTCTTTTGTAATTCTACCCAAGCGGGTAAATACCCCCAATATCATCCACCAACCTACTCCCATACTCTCGCTGTACAAATTCAGCAATCACTTCGATGATAGTCATCAAAAGTAGAAACAACATCATTGTTGTATATAATATTCACAATTAGTTTACATGCCCAGTCAGTTATCGAATGCATATAGGTTCTAGAAATAAATGATACAGTACTCAATATTTTGTTTATACTTTCAACAATATATCTGGCAAACATATTACGACATGTGATACTGTGTAACAACACTGTCTAATCAAGTCCATCTATGACGATTATATTAAAAAGGCTAGGTGGTTCTTGGTCGACATATAAATGAATTTGTATTATAAATACTACACACCTTATAATGGAGGTCAAAGGCAGAACAAATGGTCATCTCATTACCTATTTCAGGTATCGTTTTACAGAATTGATTATAGTAGTCAGTATGACTTGCAAATAAACAAGTGTACGCAATCCCCTTTTCTTAAAATAATTAAAAGTATTCCATCAACTAAAAGGTAAATTGACTTCTAACTACTCCAGTCCATCAGGGGTATATCTGTTTTTATAACACATATTACACGTATTAAGTTTGTGGTGATGTGACAACGTTATACCAAATAACAAATAAAGTAACTTAAGGCGCGACAGTAGACAAACCAGCTCTTACAAGCGTACTCGTGAGATCGATCGATTATTGAAAGTGCGACATATATTTCTCTTTTGTGTGTGTGCGTGGGCAACGTCGCTGGCTCCGTCATCAGTGGCATTGAAACAGACTTCCCATATGCTAACCATTACTGCGCATAAGGCACGGACATAAAACCGATTTCATTCCGTATGGTAACGAAACGTATATGTCATTACCGCAACAGCTGTTTAAGATATGTGTATAGTAACTCACTCACCGTGAATTGTGCACAAGTATTGGTGCACAGGTATGCACATATTGGATACATCATGTCATGCGTATGTAAGAGAACGGGTAACAAGTTTAGGAAACAAATCGAGTTAATGATCAAATACATTTTATCTCATTATTACTTAATATTAGTTAATGTGGGTGACATTTACATAAATACCAAGTCAAACAAGAGATAAGTTTATGGTTTATCTCGGTGACTGAGTTGAGATTTTCAGTAGTTTGGTCATTTGATCGTCGCTCAAAGCAATAATAACATTCTTCAAGGAAAATATTAACTCAAAAAGGGATTTATTTTTTCAAGGAATACCCCGAGTGAGAAATGGCGTACCGTTGGAAGCGCTCGTTAAATCACCAGCATCCGTCGGTCAGGATGACGTCAAATGCCCCCGCGGATACCACAGCGGAAGGTTTTGCGTTGTCCGTGCCCAACTGGCAAATAGTAAGCCTAAGACAAAACCTATATTTTTATAATCCTATTTATATATACTAATTACTCCAACAAGCCATACTGTGTACTAAATGTAATCTTTATAACAAGAATAAGTTTGGTGGATAAAAGCACACACAAACTGAGCATGATGCACGTGGCGTGGACAGTTCTATGAGTGAGTGAATTGGGTTTAATGCCGCTTTTAACAGTATTCCAGTCATATCACAGGTGTGTCAGCTTAATGTGGGAGAAAAGCCCGAAGTGATGCAGGTCACAGACGTATACCACTTCGGTGAAACCCACGAGCACGGGTATAGTGCCATTATTGGGGCGAACCGGGATTCGAACCCACAATCATAGGTTTCTGGCGTGCCCAAGGGACGCCCCGTCAGTTCTATGATCAGTCTACACAACATGTTGCCCTGTTCATGTCTTGTCAACGGGATTTATGGCCCATGTCATATATGTCGATGCAATTAAAGTCCTTCCTTACAAAACAGGGGACCCGTGAAGATTCCGGGGTAGATAAGGTCTTCAGCAACCCATGCTTGCCGTAAAAGGCGACTATGCTTGTCGTAAAAGGCGACTAACGGGATCAGGTGGTCAGGCTCGCTGACTTGGTTGATGCATGTCATCAATCCCAATTGCGTGGATTGATGCTCATGATATTAATCACTGGATTGTCTGGTCCAGACACGATTATTTACAGACCGCCGTCATATAGCTGGAATAGTGTGGAGTGTGGCATTAAACAACAAACCAAACAAAACATAACAGGGAACTTATACAGCTTATAGCTTAACTTAGATTATACAATCTAATCAAGCTAGCGAATACACCGAAGCCCCGTTAATCTGGATCCCGTCAGTTCGGACACCTAACATTTCGAACGAATAATTTTGGGAACGTACTTCAATATCAAGGAACCTTACTGTGTATTTATGATTCGTCTATCCTGAAACCGGGACGATGTCGCTCAGAACGGCATCGTCCAGTTTAACGGTAACGGTGTTTCAAGGTACATAACTATTTTAATGGCCTCCTGTGAACATGAAGGGGCGGTCGGGTAGCCTAGTGGTTAAAGCGTTTACTCGTCACGCCGAAGACCCGGGTTCCAATCCCGACATGGGTACAATGCGTGAAGCCCATTTCTGGTGTCCCCCGCCGTGATATTGCTGGAATATTGCTAAAAGCGGCGTAAAACCATACTCACTCACTCACTCACTGTGAACATGAAAGTCCTGTGGGTGAGAGATACACTACCGGCCAGCGGAAAGTATACACTTGTTTCAAGGCGGACAACAGTCGTCGAAACCCTGCGAACTTATAATCATCAGTCCCGAAGACAACTATGATACCCATAACGAATACACCACCATCGAATAACCGTTCCTTGTGTGTATCATTTTGAGCCACCATCAAACATGGGTGTGTAGTTTCCTTTTCTTAGCAGATCATGTGGATGTGACTGATTCCAAGAAATCCATCCTTATTAATGACTCGCCAAAACGGCTGATGTAACATCATGTATTTGGATGACGATTTCTCTCATCTTGACTGCGTTGGTGTAGTGTATTGTATACAACATTGTATTTTTACGTGATGTAAAATTATAATGGTGTTTATCTGCTTCATTATACAACAGAAAAAAAAATTCATATATCATGCATATACACTTTATCGAAACAGTTTTCATTATCATATAGATAGGACGTATTGTTATAACCTTCTGTGCATATGCCATTGAAGTGTGACTATTCAGATCAATACACATACACAAACAAGAATATTCCCGTGTTACATTTATTCACCATCCACGTGAAAATGAACGCGAGAGTGAATAAAGCGAAGAGCTGATGAGATCAAAGCAGAACAAAATGCGCAATAAATGTCCGGAAACTAGCATACCCGGGATAGGGTGAATACTGTATGTTTGTCTCAAGCTACTATATAATGGGTATCGTATGGCCAAGATGGACGTCAAGTCGGGAAAGTAATTAGTGATCACTATCCGCTAAGGCTTTATTAGGCTGCATACAATCATTAAATGTTTCTCGGGCACATGTTTCTCAAAAGTGAGGAGGGTGGAAGAATTTTATTTATTTTCAATTGACAACAAAAGTGATGAAGGGGGAACGCTTTATAATTATTCCCCATCAAGAATACCAACCAACTCAATTGAGCATACGTTGTACTCGGCATTTGTTTCAATGTCAGTTGTCAAGCATTTATTTTGTGGATGACAGAGTCTGCTTCATATGACTCAAGAAGACCTGGCCGATTTAGTGTGCAATCAGTTCAATTTTGTTTTCCCCACTGCTTTCACAGTCAAGGCATTTGTTTAGACAGGTGTGATATAACTTTAATAATGTTGAACACACCGTTACGGTATGCTATTTCACTCAATGCACAGACGAGCATGAATGTGTGAGTGAGTGGGTGGGTGTCTGAGTGAGAAAGTGAGAAAGTATTGTCGCCTCCACCATTTTGCAAGGATATATTGGATAGAACATCCCTGTCTTATGTGTTTATTGTTTTAATATCAATAATAAATACATATCCAGTTTATGAATACTCACTGTGTTTTTGTGTGTTCTTCTCTAAAAGGCCTAGAAGGGCAGAATAAGATATTTTATCATAATATATTTAATAATACATATCCACAGAGGATTCTCAGGCATATACTTGCTGATTATCTTGCTATCACTGTCCACGTGTCGGCGGTATTACAATAGCTCTGGTCGATACTGGATAAAACATATAAACAGCAAATTAGCATTTCCATTTATTTCATAAATCTCTTGATATTAATATTGATTTCTCTTCGTTCATTGTGGTGTGGGGTGATTTATCTAGGATATTGTGCTGATAAGGAAATATCCTATCAACGTAAAATGAATATCGCTGTTCAAAACATAGGGTGTCGCGGTAAAGTTGTTACTATATAATTTACAGTCCAAAACAAAACACGTTTATACTATTTTTTACTCCCTTTGTCCTATATATAATCGACAGTAAGAAGAAAATAGTTCATGGCCTGCAAAAGGTTTAATAATCTAACATTGAAAGCAAAATGATAATTCACTGTGGGCGGTTGGCTCATAAATCATCTGTAATCACATGTATTCCTTTACTTTAGTCACAGCTTGGTTCGATAACAACCACAGGGTCAGTGGTAATAACAATGATATTTTTTTGTTACCAGTTATATATTTTCAGAGTCATGTATTTGTAAAATATATATTTGTGATGTGTCGGGTAACAAAAAGATCAATGTAGCACAGCTTTCAATATCAGTAATGAACGGTCCCTCTGACGTATGCCGATCCTGTAAAATGGTAAACAAAATAGTCCCCGAAAATAGTGAAATATATTTGGGATATGTATCAATAATGGTGATATATTTTTGAAGGACCCGAACGTAATATACATCAATTAACGAAGAGTGGCTAAATGCGCCATAACTGAAATGAACATGATTTTGTTTCATTGGGGTATAATTACACGCACTACTTTCTAAGTATATTCCTACGCACTGTCAACATAATTTGCATACGAGTCAATGGCGATTGATAAGTGTTCCCACGATGTAATAAGCAAATAATATGTCAGTGGCACATACTAAGGATTTAACATAGGAAAAATGGAATTAGCTAAAGCAGTTTTCGGGGATCGTTCACTCGACGGATACAGCAGCAAGTCAACAGCTGGTATGTCAAAATGTACTCCATGTTGAACGATGTAGGCTGATGTCGCGATCGTCGTGCCACATCGGCTTATGTGATTGATTGTCAACTTAATTCGTGAGAGTGTAAAACTGACTTCTGAGAGTGTTGCTTATACAATACCGTTCGTTACTGGCAGGTCTGTTATTTTATTTTATTTGCAGACGTATGAATATGTTGCAAATGCAAATGTTATTATTGTCCGTCGTTTGGTAATATTTGTGAAAATGTACAGGGGAGGTAACTCTAATCGATTTCAAGAATTATTATTGGAAGTGAGTATACAACTTGTACAAATCAAAATATTTATTTTGGCAGTATTTTACATTTCACTGATATCCCGATTCCAGGGCTACGTGTCAGTAATTTCAATAACAGTGACACTATTCTCTTTCTTGTCAGTAGTTGGGGTCCAGTTACACTAATTTCTTTGTGCAAACAGTGTACATGGTGTATGACATATGATTTTATGTTTATAATATACTCTTATTTCAAGTTAGCAACCCATATTTATGTCAAATCTACCCTTCATTAGACCTAATTTAAGAAATTTAATAATGATCAAGTTTTAATACTGTATGGAAATAGTACTATTGTAAACAACTTATGGCTAAAACGTTCCCGTGCAAAAACATCCCCTAGCAAAAACAACCATGTTGAATGTACATACCAGTATTCAAGTAATTGAAACATTACAGAATAATAGATGAACACCTTCATTGATTGATTTTCAGAAAAATAACATTTTGAACTCAGAAGTATCAATCTTTACTAGAAATGTGCCTGTATTCAGCAAATTAAGAGTTTACGCCATTGCCTGTCCAGGACATGTGAAAATGAAGTTTGTTTGGTCTAATCTATACCCTGTTGATAGTTGGGGAAACAATTTTTGTTCTGAAGCTGTGGAATTACTGATAGAATTTATGAAAATCCTATGGCATGTTTAAAGGATGACAAAACTTCAGGAAAGAAAAAGCTTCTTCTTTCGACTTTTAGAGTGGGTAATGAAAATTGTAATCGTACAGCGGCATTCAATTAATATATATCATACGCATTCACAGACCGCTGCGAATGGTATTTATTACCTTTCCCTCTATCCAAGATTATTACTACTAATAATACAGTAACCTGATTGAACAAGTTGCTGAAACCTGTTGAGGGATTTAACTTGTAGCATGTGTTTATCCAATTGTTAAGTACACACCTAATCTGTGAATTTAATACTGTTAGTTAGTCTATTTACTCAACATGCTAAACACAGACAAAACAACATGATAACATGTCTCAGGTTTCATGGCCTGGTGACTGCATAAACTGGACTTGTGATTTGCACAATTAATTCCAAATCAGGTGATTTGTCTCTTCTTCTGTCTTCTGAACAATCTTTTGCATGTTTAGTTGTGTATGTAATGTATAAGTTCATTTGTTTCTAATGTGTAATTTTTTATGGTAAATCTGAGTTATTTGACTGTTTAACATGTTTAAGGGAATCGTTTTTTGTTCTAATTGATCAAAGTTCAGCTATGTGTCAGTGGGGAATTAGCTCTTGGGGGAATAAAGGACAAAATCGACATCACTGTCCCGGAACGCTTTATGTACAACATGTAATCAATAAACAACAATTGCACAATGAGCGGAATACCTGCTCTGACAACACAAACACAGCAATGAGGGGACCTTCCAGCTCAAGCACGTGGTGAGCGGAGCTCCAGCTCAACCTCATGACATTTCCTACGAGCGGCACATCCTGCTCGAGGTCGTCCCTACACCAGCACTTGGAATACCAAGCTTGACTAACATCATGTAATGGTAACGAATATATAGTAATGAACAACAATGGACAGACAATGACGTTACTCTGGACATGGGACTTCTGGGGGTGATGAACTGACATTGCTCAGGGGATGAACAATTAACGCAAAAAATGTCATACTATAAATAACAGTAATTAACGGGAAGTGATATAGTGGCCCAGGTTGGCTGACAGTGGCAAAAACATTTGATCAGGGGACAATTTAGCAAGCATCCTTCTCCATGTTCTCAGTGTTAGACACTAACGGTTTTAGGGGTTATAGCTAAAACGGCACCTCAGCAAAACGTCTGCTGGTAAAAACGGCACCGGTTGGCGAAAACGGCACCTCGCCTCAAGTGGAAACAGCTACTATCATGAATTTTGCCTGGCGAAAATTAGCCCATGTGAATACATCAAATACCATGTAAAGAAACTATATAGAATACTACATAAATTGTTCTTATCGTCATTACAAATAGACGTGCCATTTTAGCCTGCACCCCAGTTTTAGTACACTAGTCCTTATGATGATAACATATAGCAAGACTCTTGAAAAGGGCAAATTTCTACTAGTCCTTGTGATATCTTCAGTATTGATGAATGATAATCCTATTTGTATGTGATTAGTATTTGATTAAAAGATTGAATAAATGAACAAATATTTGAGTGAAATATCTGACTTCTAACTTGAAAATCAATAACAAGCTAAAAGCTAAGAAAACTGATCTAACGAGTGCTAAATGTCGCATTTCTGTAGCAGCATTAACTGTCACATTCAGTGTCTGTCTGATAAACCATTGAATGATTTATCAACAGGAATTTATCTAGACCTTTGCAGAGGTATATGATCAGCCCATATAATGCTACAAATGTTTATAGAGGTGATTTATATTTCACTGATGAACATGTTGAACATAATGTTTGTATTCCCCCCAATTTTCCTGTCAAGAGAACTTAGTTTGAATCTGATATAAATCCCTGGTCAATGCAAGATAGACTTAAACCATGCAAGATTTTGTAAACAACTTTTTCGTTTTATTCTTTTGTATGATAAATGGTTAACATTAGGGCTTGGATGAGTCCAAATTTACGACCCAGGTACTCAACCCCCTATTATCCAACTCTACCTGGATACCCTATGTTGGTATCAAGAATTGTTTTACCCGTGCCCTGGCAAATGCTATTTACATACATGAAGAAAAAAATCAGAACATGCATATACCATGTATACTGAAGTCAACTGAAGTTATATCTTTACTGAAACATATACAAGTCAGAAACAAAGTGTGCACAGTCAGAAAGAAATCCAGTGTTAGAAACAAACAGTTTCAATGCACTAGTCCTTATAATGATAACATATATCAAACCCCTTAAAAATGGCAAATTTCTACTTGTCCTTATGACACCTTAACTATTGGGCAGTTGGTAAAGACTACAGGAGTAGTGCCAATGCAAACATAAGCAACTTTTATTGTTTTAAACAATATATCATGTGACTAACCTCGGGTCTCACTAGTCCTTTGGGTACTCGGGTTCTACTCAAGACCCACCTGACCCGAGTACTCAAGTTGCCCATCCCAGCCCTAGTTAGCATGTTGAAGTGACTATATATGTGAGGTATTTTGATTGTTCATCTTGCATGTCCATTGATCATGTTGACCATGCTTGTGGACAACAGAACTCAGCTGTATCTATCATCATGACAGTTTTATCATATTAATCATCATATTTTAACCTCGTAATCAGTGTTTAGACGTAAGAGAATTAGGTTTGTTTTGCTTTATTTTGGCCATGTTGGCATGGTCAGGCATTAGAGGGCAAATAAGAAGTTATAAATCAAATATCCACTTATCATGTTCATCATGTCAATCATGCTGACAGCATCTTTTAACATGTTTAAGTGTCTGTCTTTGTTGACATTTTAAGATTCGGGGTAGAATAGGTCTTCACCAACCCATACTTGCCGTAAACAACTGGTAAAAGGTGACTATGCATATCGTAAGAGGCGACTAAGGGGATCAGGCGGTCAGTCTTGCTGACTTGGTTGATGCATGTCATTGATCCCAATTGCGTGAATTGATGCTGATGATGTCAATCACTGGATTTTCTGGTCCAGACTCGAATATTAACAGACCGCCATCATATAGCTGGAATATTGCTGAGTTAACAGCAAACAAACAAACAGTGTTTTGTTAGCAAGGGTCAGGGGGAAAATTCATCCTTTTGTATTGTGATTGTGGAGTTCTTGAAGAGGTAATTGTATAAACTTGTTCTTGACCGCCTCCATGGTCTAGTGGTAGAGCGCCCTTAGAGCGGAAGGTCCAGAGTTTGATCCATGGCCACGCCATACCAAAAGACATTAAAACTAATAAAAGATGTTACTTGTTGTTGGCGCTCACCATTGGGGCCTAAAACAAGGGCTGGTTGGCGCAGAGTCAGTATACTGTGTCTGAGTGTGGTATCAATGTTAAACTGTGGTATGGTTTCTCAGTGGGCTAGCACTATAACATCAGCATTATTCCAGACTAGTACAGGCAGCCACACACACACACAAGTGCATGTATGTCCCTATACATGTATATAACTATAAGTGCAATAATCTTAAACGCGGTGTTAAACCCCATTTCACTTCACCATGTTCACCTTTATCTTGTTTTTATGAAATGTTCTTCTGTTTCAGTTGAAACACTATCCGAGGATGAAGAAGATATTGTCAGCGTATGTACCGGAGAAGGCATCAGCATCACTGCCACGCCCTCTTTCACCGGCAGTGGGGGGTTTATTCCCTCCCCTGGGGGACACTTCTCAGCACTGACACCTTCCATGTGGCCTCAAGACATCATTCTGAAGTTTGGCATTGCTGTAAGATTGTGTCATCATGATGTGTTTTCTATGTCAGCATGGTCAAGGACCTGTTAACTTTTATCCTTGATTTCAAATCTTTCAAGGCCTTAAACATGTTAAATTTGAATCTGCCTTGAAAAGGCATTACACATTGAGAATCTTTATTGGCATAAAGAAGTTGGATATAGATATTGGACAAATTTCATTGATCAAGATGTCATTGCAGCAATGTATATAGCTTAAATGTAGTTCCTTATCATGCTTATAGGTGACCTCATTTGCATATTTCGATGATTATGACACAAAGTTTATAGAATTCATCAATAACATCATTTTCCTGAGGCAAAGGAGTTAAACATGTTAACTGATTATCAAAGTCCAGTTTCCACCCTTGACGAACTAGGCTAGAATTATTGAGTTATATTTTGACCGGACTAATGAGTCTATGCATGGTCCACTAAAAATCATGTAACGAAATTGTCATCCGGTTCGTTAACTGCCATGCTGATTTCGGTCTATTGCAGGATTCACAAAGCATCGATCTATAAAGCCAACTCAGCTTCAACAGATATTTTCCCAACCTTTTCATGCTTTTGATCAAGGTGCTCACAATCTTGCCAGGGCAAAGAAGTTAACCGACTATTTGAGTCCAGTTTCCACCCTTGCTGAACTAGGCTGGAATTATAGAGTTATATTTTGGCTGAACAAATGATTGTATGCATAGTCCAGTCAAAATCGCTTTACGAAATCAACATCGGTTCTTAAACATGGATTTCATCTTGCAGATTTTGGTGTATGCAGGATTTGCAAAGAAAGTGTATTGTCAACTGGGCCTTGACAGATATTTTCTAAATTATTTCATGTTTTTAGTCAAGGTGCTCACATAATTTGATGCACTTCGTGGGGTAAGACCCGCTTGATTGCAATATAGATCTTGATCATTGATCAGATCGTCTTGACTGGGAGCCGCCATTTTGTTTGAAGTTTTATGAGAGGTGGAATCTGATTGGTCAATAGGGGGTGCATATAAGGGTCATAACTCATAATAGCCTCTACCGAGCCCAGAAATTCCAGCCTAGTTCGGCAAGTCACAGTCAGTTAGCTCCCTTGCCTTGGGAAGATGCAATAACACTATCCATCATATGATAAATATTTTATTCCTATGAACATGATGAATGTTTTGTGTCTCATTAGCATGATCAAAAGACATAACAAAAATTATACGGAACCCTGAATGAATGGTGATTGTATTTTAGTAATGTTGATATTTCAGCCAGAGGAAGACTCTACGGGACAGTTGGATTACCGCTATGATGAGTTTGGATTCAAAGTAGAAGAGGAAGGTATGATTTAGTTTTTGTTAAATTTTCCCACCACTTTTCCTTAACTCCTTTTTTGAATTCAAGGTACTGGTAACCTGGAATATGGGTTTCTGTGAAGTCAACAATCATTGTCTGAGATAATAAATTACCAGGATAATAAATTGTAGCCATATGGAGTATATCAATACCTCAATATAAATATGAGGATATTATATGAGTGTTCATGTCTCATGCTCTGTTTACGACTCTTGCTCGGGAAATACCGGAATTTAGACACAAGTGTCGTAAACATAGTATGACATGAACATGAATATAATGTTCTCTTTATTACTGAAGAAGATGTCTACATTCTGAGATGGATTTTAGTGTTTACTTATGAAGACCACAAATCACAATTTGTCGAATGACGTCAACAATCTTCAGCTATGACATCGTTTAAAGTGTGACGTCATTCCGACCTCACGTTGCAATAAGATTTGAATGACATCAATAATGCTGTCCGGATGACAGAAACAATACACTGCTCTCTCTTGATGTGATTGGGATTTTTAAAAAGTTCTTATTTTCCTAAATTCTGAGGTATTTAAAAATTTCAATAATGTTAAAATATCTATTGTAGCCTCTTCCCCGTCATGCTTTTTAATGGTCCATTTATTAGTGGTGTACAGGAGTTTGGAGTCAGTATGCTCTGTCTGAGTGGGATATTTATGTTGAACTGCGGCATGGTATCTCAGTGCACTAGCAGTATAAAATAGGCATTAGTCCAGACTATTACAAGCAGTCATACACACATAAGTGCACGCAAATCGCTATATAAGTTCAATAATCTTGGACGTGACGGTAAACCCCGTTTCACCTGACATCCCTTGCTACATGTTTTTAGATATTGAGCATACATAGTTATGACATTTGAATCATGTTATTTCACAAAGTGCATTGTGTCAGAAACTACTGAAGTTAGCTTATCTAAGAGATACTTATCAAGACTTGAGTATTTTTTCCAGAGAAGGGGCCTTTTGTGCGTATTAATTTCACATTTAATCATATTTTCTGATGACACAAAGCGACCCTCATGCCTATCTCTTCTTAAGGCTTTATAGGCCTCTCTTTTAATAGTCTATATTCTTAAGGCTTTATAGGCCTCTCTTTTAATAGTCTATATTCACTACTATATGAACAAAAAAAAATTAATGTGCCACATGGTGGGGGATAGTGATAATGATGTTTTGTTGTTAATTCCAATTTGGGACATTTTGCTTAAGTTTGCTCCAGTTTGGGGCCGAAAAGTGGCCTCTGAGCAGGTGCAGATAAAGCCCTGTCACTGGTGCAGATAAAGCCCTGGCACTGGTGCAGATGAAGCCCTGTCACTGGTGTAGATAAAGCCCTGTCACTGGTGTAGATAAAGCCCTGGCACTGGTGCAGATGAAGCCCTGTCACTGGTGTAGATAAAGCCCTGTACCTGGTGCAGATAAAGCCCTGTCACTGGTGCAGATAAAGCCCTGGCACTGGTGCAGATAAAGCCCTGGCACTGGTGCAGATAAAGCCCTGGCACTGGTGCAGATAAAGCCCTGGCACTGGTGCAGATAAAGCCCTGTCACTGGTGTAGATAAAGCCCTGTCACTGGTGTAGATAAAGCCCTGTCACTGGTGCAGATAAAGCCCTGGCACTGGTGCAGATAAAGCCCTGGCACTGGTGCAGATAAAGCCCTGTCACTGGTGTAGATAAAGCCCTGTCACTGATGTAGATAAAGCCTTGTCACTGGTGTAGATAAAGCCCTGTCACTGGTGTAGATAAAGCCCTGTCACTGGTTCAGATAAGGCCCTGTCACTGGTGTAGATAAAGCCCTGTCACTGGTGTAGATAAAGCCCTGTCACTGGTGTAGATAAGGCCCTGTCACTGGTGTAGATAAAGCCCTGTCACTGGTGCAGATAAGGCCCTGTCACTGGTGCAGATAAAGCCCTGTCACTGGTTCAGATAAGGCCCTGTCACTGGTGTAGATAAAGCCCTGTCACTGGTGTAGATAAGGCCCTGTCACTGGTGTAGATAAAGCCCTGTCACTGGTGCAGATAAGGCCCTGTCACTGGTGTAGATAAAGCCCTGTCACTGGTGCAGATAAAGCCCTGTCACTGGTGTAGATAAAGCCCTGTCACTGGTGCAGATAAAGCCCTGTCACTGGTTCAGATAAGGCCCTGTCACTGGTGTAGATAAAGCCCTGTCACTGGTGTAGATAAGGCCCTGTCACTGGTGTAGATAAAGCCCTGTCACTGGTGCAGATAAGGCCCTGTCACTGGTGTAGATAAAGCCCTGTCACTGGTGCAGATAAGGCCCTGTCACTGGTGTAGATAAAGCCCTGTCACTGGTGCAGATAAAGCCCTGTCACTGGTGCAGATAAAGCCCTGTCACTGGTGTAGATAAAGCCCTGTCACTGGTGTAGATAAAGCCCTGTCACTGGTGTAGATAAAGCCCTGTCACTGGTGTAGATAAAGCCCTGTCACTGGTGCAGATAAAGCCCTGTCACTGGTGTAGATAAAGCCCTGTCACTGGTGTAGATAAAGCCCTGTCACTGGTGTAGATAAAGCCCTGTCACTGGTGCAGATAAAGCCCTGTCACTGGTGCAGATAAAGCCCTGTCACTGGTGCAGATAAGGCCCTGTCACTGGTGCAGATAAAGCCCTGTCACTGGTGTAGATAAAGCCCTGTCACTGGTGTAGATAAAGCCCTGTCACTGGTGCAGATAAAGCCCTGTCACTGGTGCAGATAAGGCCCTGTCACTGGTGCAGATAAGGCCCTGTCACTGGTGTAGATAAAGCCCTGTCACTGGAGCATGAGTAACATGAGTACATCCTTGGTTCTGCTGCAGATGGTCCTGAGGAGAACTCCAGTAAGCTTCTTAGTACGCCATTCGTAGAGGACCCTCAACATCGACTTAAGTGGACAGCGTACCTCGAGTTCACGCACAACAACGAAGTCGGAGACCTCACGTGGGACAAGGTACAAACAAGTTCATATTCCTTGTAAGACACTATTCATTTGGAGTATATACCATTGTTCTATGAGTCAACTGTTGTCATGAACTACAGATGACATCAGATGACTTTCTACAATAGTTCATAAATCCTGGTTCACCCTGATTATGTTTATAGGTTTGTCAGCCTGTGTTCGTGGGTTTCACCAAAGTGGTAAACGTCTGTGAGTGAGACATTCCCACATCAAGCTGACACGTTGTGATATAACTGGAGTACTGTTAAAATGCAGCATTAAGCCTCAGAACTCATTCGCTTATTTGATATCAGGATGGTTTCTGGTGGCTTAAAGCACATGGTAAAGAGCAGTAAACAGGAGAGTATCAGAAGAAATATCAAAAGGTTTATCAAGCTTTTGCAAACCTTTTTAACCATTGTTATAATCAGAGAAAATTCAGATTGTGTTAGTAAATGTTATCAATGAAAAGATTATGCAGTGTTTGAAATTAAGAATGAATTTCAAGTATGTTGAATTATGTTAAATGTTTCCTTGATTGAAATATTATTGCTGGAATTATATCCATGATTGGCTGTACTCCAAATTAATCCTGAATGTATTGGGGTCCTTGTCATAACCCCAATGTTAAAAGTTTATGAGGGTCCCTAGGTTCAAATACTGTAGGAAGAAAGTTCAAGGATTCTACTTTGTGTTTAACCCTGCTCTGATTTTTCTGGTTTTCTTCATAACACTAAATAACAAAAGTGTTTTTATGCCACATGTGTACTACTCATACCAAGAACACCCACATTTGGAAGGCTGTGAGTTGCAAATACCCACACAGCCATGACAGATTAACTAGTCATTATAAAAAAAGTGTACGGTATGTCCTTTAATAAATGTTCAACTTCTTTGAGATGCATGTGAGGGATGCATAATGAAGCTTCTACTTCTAGCATGATTAGGTAACATACTGATTGTGTATTGCGACGAGGGATGCAAACTTAAACCAAAACAATTTACTACTCCAAATACATGAATAAAATGTAACATATCAGGGACACAGCCCAGAAATTGAAAAAGGCCTGACAATCTACTAGCCCTTCGAGATTAGCATTTATATGGTCCCATAAGTTTTGACAATGACCCCATGTATTTATGCACATATCCTGTTCCCACTTCTTCAGTTTCTGGGGCACAACATTGCTAGTTGAATTTCAAACATTTTTGGGGTGTTGCTATATGTTATCACTTGTTGGTAGATATTCTATGTCAATTACCATCCCTGTAAGAACCCTTGGATATTGAAAGGTAAGTGTAGTGATTGAATATAATAATTATAATTTCCATGGCCTTGAATATGGGGGGGGGGGTGGGGGGGGGGGGGGGGGGGGGGAGGAGACTTTGGAAAGTCCTGAACTTTGTGATGTAATTCTGTATGGACACTGTCTTTAGCTTTATTGTGTAATGGTGCTATATTCCATGCCTATTTATCAGGCTCAGGTGGAGTCACAGCTGCCGAGATCAGAGAAACTAAAGGGCATGGTGCGGCAAGGCATCCCCCACTCTCTGCGGCCACAGATCTGGATGAGGATGTCAGGTGCCCTGGAGAAAAAGCTGAAGTCAGAACTTACCTACAAAGATGTAGTTAAAGCCAGTGCCAATGATCATCTGATGACATCAAAACAAATTGAAAAAGTGAGCAATATCAAGATCTTTTTTTATACATTTACAACAATAGACATAATTGTGAATTTGTCATGATTGATCATCATGAATAGGCAGTGATAGTTGCATTTTAAATGTGATGATTTTTTGTTTATAATGACCTGATCTGTGGATCTTTAACCACAAACTTTCAGAAGTTCGGAATCAAATTATCTTTTCTTTTTTCTCTCCTCCCCCCCCCCCCCCCCCCCCCCCCCCCCAGTGCCGAGTTTAACTAATTTCAGTAATGCATTATGACTTCAGTGTGAAGGGTGAAGGGAAGTAACTCTAAGACTTTTCCCTACAAACCCTTTTTAAATCACTATTCATGCTACTTTTAAGGTATCACTTATCATGCTTATAAGATCTGTGTTATTCATTTCATCTTTATTTCTATTTTGACCACCGAATACGATGTTTGTGGAACAAAACATCTTAAGAAAAGTAATAATCATTGTAAAAAGAAGAAGGCCAATTTTAACTTGTTGAATGAAAACTCAACAAATAGCAATAGATGGTTACTTGCTGTCTCAAGATATCTACAGTTGGATAATTCCTCTATTTAGGATCTACTTCGAACAATGCCAAGCAACACATGTTTCTGCAACATCAACAGTACCGGTGTACCTCGACTCCGTCGTATCCTGCGAGGCCTGGCGTGGTTGTACCCAGACATCGGATACTGTCAGGGGACAGGCGTGGTGGGTGCATTGTATTGTCTTACTGGTATATATATCATGCTATATCTCATTGCTAAACTGGCTTCATGCATTGTTTTTTGAAACACAAGTGGGTGTGACATCATGACATCACATCACGCTACTGCTGACCCTGTTTGCAGTTGAGTTGCTATACGGAGAGTCTGGTGGCAGGCACAACATAGATATAAATGTTACACAAACTGTTTTCACCAAAACTAACTTGTGACCTTGTTGTGATAAATTTATACATGTGTCTCTATAGCAGGCTGTACATTATTTTTCAAGCTTAAAGTTTATAAACATCCCTTGACCTCTGTTGTGGTGTACTGGACCATTCAAATCCTGTACAATCTGCTAGAGACATGTGTAAGTCATAGATTGTCTTCACTGTTTAGTAGGCACAGGTGTCTCTGTTATTTAAGGTGCCTTGATTTGCTGTGCTTATTTACGTACCTTAGTGTTGCCAGAAATCTCTGATGTTGTGTTCGAATCTTACATTCGCCCTGAATGTGTTTCTAGGATTTGGTGCATTGTACTGGTGGTCATGGGTGGTAAAGTTTTAAACATCACTTTTGGCCCTCCTCCCACATCCAAGCGATGTTGGGCCAAACTAACTCACTCACTGCAGAGTTTATGCCAGTAGAGATTCCCAGGATAAATGTTTGTGTTGCAGATTGCTGCCTCCCTGCTGCTGTTCATGGAAGAGGAGGACACATTCTGGATGATGTGTGCCATCATAGAGGACCTGCTGCCGGCATCCTACTACTCCAGCACCCTTATAGGCATACAGGTCAGTCAGCCTCTACACACCATATAGGCATACAGGTCAGTCAGCCTCTACACACCATATAGGCATACAGGTCAGTCAGCCTCTACACACCATATAGGCATACAGGTCAGTCAGCCTCTACACACCATATAGGCATACAGGTCAGTCAGCCTCTACACACCATATAGGCATACAGGTCAGTCAGCCTCTACACACCATATAGGCATACAGGTCAGTCAGCCTCTACACACCATATAGGCATACAGGTCAGTCAGCCTCTACACACTAAATAGGCATACAGGTCAGTCAGCCTCTACACACCATATAGGCATACAGGTCAGTCAGCCTCTACACACTAGATAGGCATACAGGTCAGTCAGCCTCTACACACCATATAGGCATACAGGTCAGTCAGCCTCTACACACCATATAGGCATACAGGTCAGTCAGCCTCTAAACACTAAATAGGCATACAGGTCAGTCAGCCTCTACACACTAAATAGGCATGCAGGTCGGTTAGTCTCTATACACAAGATGGTATACAGGTCAGTCAGTCCTACACACTAGATAGGCATATAGGTCAGTCAGCCTCTACACACTAGATAGGCATACAGGTCAGTCAGCCTCTAAACACTTAATAGGCATACAGGTCAGTCAGCCTCTAAACACTTAATAGGCATACAGGTCAGTCAGCCTCTAAACACTTAATAGGCATACAGGTCAGTCAGCCTCTACACACTAAATAGGCATGCAGGTCGGTTAGTCTCTATACACAAGATGGTATACAGGTCAGTCAGTCCTACACACTAGATAGGCATACAGGTCAGTCAGCCTCAACACAAAAGATAGGCATACAGGTCAGTTAGTCTCTACACATTAGATAGGCATAGAGGTCAGTCAGTCACTACACACTACATAGGCATACAGGTCAGTCGGCCCCTACACACTAGATAGGCATACAGGTCAGTCAGTCACTACACACTACATAGGCATACAGGTCAGTCAGTCCCTAAACACTAGATAGGCAAACAGGTCAGTCAGCCCCAACACACTAGATAGGCAAACAGGTCAGTCAGTCACTACACACTAGATAGGCATACAGGTCAGTCAGTCACTACACACTACATAGGCATACAGGTCAGTCAGTCCCTACACATTAGATAGGCAAACAGGTCAGTCAGTCACTACACACCAGATAGGCATACAGGTCAGTCAGCCTCTACACACTAGATAGGCATACAGGTCTGTCAGTCCCTACATACTTGATAGGCAAACAGGTCAGTCAGTCCCTAAACACTAGATAGGCAAACAGGTCAGTCAGTCACTACACACCAGATAGGCATACAGGTCAGTCAGCCTCTACACACTAGATAGGCATACAGGTCAGTCAGTCACTACACACTACATAGGCATACAGGTCAGTCAGTCACTACACAATACATAGGCATACAGGTCAGTCAGTCACTACACAATACATAGGCATACAGGTCAGTCAGTCCCTACACACTAGATAGGCATACAGGTCAGTCAGCCCCAAACCAAAAGATAGGCAAACAGGTCAGTCAGTCACTACACACCACATAGGCATACAGGTCAGTCAGCTCCTACACACTAGATAGGCATACAGGTCTGTCAGCTCCTACACACTAGATACTAGATAGGCATACAGGTCAGTCAGCTCCTACACACCAGATTGGCATACAGGTCAGTCAGCCCCGACACACTTGATAGGCATACAGGTCAGTCAGCCCCAACACACTAGATAGGCAAACAGGTCAGTCAGTCACTACACACCACATAGGCATACAGGTCAGTCAGCTCCTACACACCAGATAGGCATACAGGTCAGTCAGCCCCGACACACTTGATAGGTATACAGGTCAGTCAGCCTCTACACACTAGATGGTATACAGGTCATTCAGCCTCTACACACTAGATAGGCATACAGGTCAGTCACTCACACTAGATAGCCCCGACACACTTGATAGGTATACAGGTCAGTCAGCCTCTACACACTAGATGGTATACAGGTCATTCAGTCCCTACACACTGGAAAGGCATACAGGTCAGTCAGTCCCTACACACTATATAGGTTTACAGGTCAGTGAGACTCTTTTTGAAAGCAAGGTTAACATATGATATACAACTGTAGCTTGTCATTTTATGAGATATATTCCTTCATTAAAGTGAATGAACAGAAGACCTACCAATGCTTATTTAGTTGATTTGAGTTAATTAATGAAAGTCACTCAGTCACTACACAATACATAGGCATACAGGTCAGTCAGTCCCTACACACTAGATAGGCATACAGGTCAGTCAGCCCCAAACCAAAAGATAGGCAAACAGGTCAGTCAGTCACTACACACCACATAGGCATACAGGTCAGTCAGCTCCTACACACTAGATAGGCATACAGGTCTGTCAGCTCCTACACACTAGATACTAGATAGGCATACAGGTCAGTCTGCTCCTACACACCAGATTGGCATACAGGTCAGTCAGCCCCGACACAGTTGATAGGCATACAGGTCAGTCAGTCCCTACACACTATATAGGTTTACAGGTCAGTGAGACTCTTTTTGAAAGCAAGGTTAACATATGATATACAACTGTAGCTTGTCATTTTATGAGATATATTCCTTCATTAAAGTGAATGAACAGAAGACCTACCAATGCTTATTTAGTTGATTTGAGTTAATTAATGAAAGATGTTCTTGAGATCTCTTGTTACTGTCATCAGCATGATAAACATTTGATAAGATTTTACATGTTACCTTGGTTACCCTAAAGAGTACTTGTACCGTTTCATATGTAGATTAATGCAAACTTTGGGGAATATCAAAAACCCTATTCACTTTCTCCATGGTTTTATAATTACTATTATGTTGCCATAGTGCAATAATTTCTACAAGCCGGACAAGCTTATGGATTACATCAACATGATCAATACATCTGTCCCTGGTTTTGTGATCTATAAATGACATAATATTCGATAAAGTAAAAACAAGAAATAGTGAAAACGAACCCTAATCATTGTCAGAAAATAATTTTCCATTCGTATAATCCATTTGAGAACAAAATATGTTTACATTTTTGTGGTCGTTGATGGCACAGGTACTACAGAAATGTACCACTGGTATCATGTTATATTTGATCGTTGGCCTATTGAAATTATTACTATGGTACTAACACTGTGATGTTGGGTTTGATCCACAGGCTGACCAGCGGGTGTTGAGACAGCTGCTCATAAGCTACCTGCCGGACGTTGACCTTGTCTTGAAGGAACACGACATAGGTAAGATGTTCAATATGGTGAATTGTTGTAGATACAGTCTTGGAGTTATTGTGTGGCACGGTAATATTGTATGCTTCTTAGGAAGTGAATTGTGTCCTGTATTCCATGAATGCTATTCAACTCCTAGGCTTCTATCAGCACAGTGCGGCATGGGTGGCCAAGTCGCCTAAGGCCTCGTAAGTCACTGTGCAGAATTTCGTCCCTTGGGCATGCCAGAAACCTATTATCGTGGGTTCGAATCCCTGTTCACCCTGTTTATGTTTCTTGGTTCGTCAGCGCCCTAACCGTGCTTGTGGGTTTCACCAAAGTGGCAAACGTCAGAGACCAGCACCACTTCAGGCTTACTTCCCACATTAAGATGTCATGCCATGATATAACTGGAATACTGTTCAAAGTGGCATTAATCCCAACTCACTAACCTATCGGAACAATTATCTGTCAGTGTTACGTATTGGATGTGTTGTTGTATTGAAAAAGAGAACCTAACATTAGAAAGGTTTGGGAATAGCAATTGAATAAGGCTTGTACTGTGTCAGTAACCAGAAACACTTGCTTTGTACTGAATAGAGCTATCAAATACAAAACAATTTGATGGAATACAGTCATTATATTTTACTGTAATGGTACCCTGTCATCCATCATGTCCATAGTTGAATAAGCATGAAACAGGGTTAGAACTTAACACAAGCCTGCTGGCCCGAGGCTAGAACAAATTCATTCAAGCTGGTGTAAATTTCCCTGTTTCCCCATTGTTTTAACATTACAAGGGCATTATATCTTTACCCGGGCTAACAAAGCTTTTGAGGTTAGCTCTGACCCTGAGAAAATATTGATTCAGGGAAGCATCTTTATTATATTGGCTTACTATTTACAAAGCAGTGTCCCATTTTCAAAATAACCACATCAATGACCTGAAGCAAATGACTGACAAAAACAAAAATACACTAACAGATAAATAATACCTTGCATGTGAGCATCAACTACAATCAATTAGTAAAGAGGGAGGTACCAGGATTTGTTCTGGTACTTTTTGTTCTGCTTAGAAACACTAACAATTAGTCTCGCTAGATACTAACCAGCTAACCAAGTGTGCTGCACAGGTGGCCTTATCCTCTATGGCACTGCAGGTTGCTGTGCAGAGTTGTGTCCCTTGAATGATTGTGGACTTGAATCAAAGATTCACCATGATTGTGATCCTTTGTTTGATCAGTGACTCTCATAACTGTTTCAACTTGCTGGATAGCTGGTTGGCCCAGCACAATGCTTCTTTGAACATCCCTTGCTACTAACTGGATGCTCCCTTCCTGCTGCTGCTGCTGCATGCTGTCCTGTTTGTTTCAGAGCTGTCCCTCATCAGCCTGCACTGGTTCCTCACCCTGTTTGCCAGTGTTGTGCACATGAAGGTGCTGCTCAGTCTGTGGGACTTGTTCTTTTATGAGGGGTCAGTGGTACTCTTCCAAATTACCATGGGCATGCTCAAACTGAAGGTGGGTCAACTTGCTTGCTCGCTTGTGCTTGTAATTAACATGTTTAATAGTGGAATGAATCTATTAATGCATATTAAAATTAATGGTGTGGTTCAGATTAAATTCAATTTAATTTAAAAATTGGGAAGGTTCTTGTAAAGTTTTGTTAAATTGCTTGTCACAAACACTGCCACTATTTCGGAGAACTACTGTAAAGTTAGCACTGTTTGGTATATGTATTCATGCGTGCTCTGTGATTTGTGAAGAAGACTGTATATCACTGAAAGCAATGTTTTGGTTGGCACATTAAATTAGGTTTGGTCAGGTATTCTCTCCATCAACCACAGAAATTCCAGATTAGAAGAGCTACCGACTCTTATTACAAGAGTTGCTGTTGTTGAATGAAGCAGTCAGCAAAAGTCCAGGGCCCCGTTCCACAAAGAAGTCATGGCACTAAGGCTTTACTCCCATACTTTAACACAGACTTATGTCGTAGTGCAATGAACGCCTTGTGAAACATGGCCCAGCTTTGCTTATTTTGTTGCAGCAGCAGCCTGTAAAATTCAGAGTCAAAGTGAAAATAGTAATGTCCATCTTCCCAAGGCAAGGGAGTTTACTGACTGTAAAAGTCCAGTTTTCCACCCTTTGACTGACAATCGACCGAAATCTGCATGGCAGTTGGCGATCTGGATGTCAATTTCGTTATGTGATTTAAGTTGGACTATGCATAGACTTGTTAGTCCAGCCAAAATATAACTCCATAATCCCAGCCTAGTTCGGCAAGGGTGGAAACTGGACTTTTAGAGATAGGTCACTCCCTTGCCTCAAGAAGATGGTGATTGACATCATGAGCATCAATCTACACAATTGAGATATGATAACATGCATCAACCAAGTCAAAGAGTTTGCCCATCCGAACCCATTAGTCACCTCTTACTACAAGCATGGTTTGCTCAAGACTCGGATCTTCATAGGGGCCCATGATGTGATAATGGATATTAACAGTTTTATTGCATGAAAGCATTTATTGTTCTCACAAACATCCCCTGCTTGACATGAGATCTTACTTCAGGATATTCAAGATTAGGCCTATTCATCTAAGATAGGTCAGGTCCACCGACAAAGATTGTAAAGGTCCAAATTTGTTTTTGTTTTTTATTATTATTTTAATTAAAAAGTATAGAGCAACAAATTTACATGGGTTGGTAGGGACCCACATAAGGTTCCAAGTGTTGTTAGATGAGTTAGCACAATCTTTTGTATGTATTCCCCACATCTGCTGTTACTATGGTTGTTGTAGTGGACATTTTCACTTCCTGTATAAGAAGTGTTTCAACTTTATTTTAAAGGCGAATGAACATGATTGCCAAGAACAAAGAGGCTGTCGTAATGGGTTGACAATAGCTGTAACTGCTTTTGTCACCCAATTTGACGCTTTAGTTCATGAAAACATTGAGTGTAACACTAAATCAAAGTGTTTAATTTTTTAACTTATCCTCCATTACTACCTTAATGCATTTACTGCTGTTTTTCTGACTAGGAAGGCTGAGCTGTAAGAGGTCCTGGCTGCAGAAGTTGTTGTTCCAACAAGTTGTGTGGCATATACCCTCCCACAGCTACCACGTGAGGGGTTCCATCGTCGTGGTGCGATCTTTGCAGCTCTCTCTCCCCTCGTGACTTCACAAATACCTTAGTGTCTTGAGGAAATGACACACCCAACGTGCCTGCCGATATCCCCAGATGTCCGAGGACAGGGAAACTTCTCTGACTAAGGAGGTCCCTGTTAATGTCTTCACTGAGGTGTTATTGTCCCATACCACGCTGCAGTCTTCATTACTTGAGCAGTGCCTCTCCTCCTGCTGTCTTCTACAGCGTTCACGCCTGCACTTATGTCAGCACTTATTGTCAAAGGCGCCAGCACGCCCAGCGCTGCCGCCTCTCATGCCTCCAAGTTTTGGCTCCTTACCTGCATCATATCTGGATCACGTTTGGGTTCACTGGATGCAATCTATGTCCCTGTCATCCAGGGCTCAGATGACTCCTCTGACTCCTTCGATGCCTGCGGCACCCCTGGTCTTCACTGTTCCCATTCCAGCGCTTCAGGCCACCGTGACGCCCGCTGTTACACTGGCGCCTTAGGAGCCTCCGGGTTTTCAACCATTATATAGCTTACCACCCACGTCCTCGGCTCCCGCTCTTGTGCTGGTGGCACCTCTTGTGCATCATATCAATATATCTTTGTTTCCTTTTCTACGACTACCTCATGTCCGTCCTTGGCTCCTTTAGAGGACACTACAACCCCTCACACGACCTCACACACATGCCTCTAACTCTCCCGCGTCTTCACGCTGCACTCCAGGTCTTCTTGCTCTAGACGGTCCTGTAGTCATTCCCTGCTTCGCCCGCATTACAACTATCCTTAGGACTCTTTCCTGAGCTCCGTAGGTATGTTCTGTGGCTTAACCAAGTATCAGATTGGATGGTGCACAGGTTAGCTTCAGTCGCTGCTGCCTCCCTGGGACTGGTTGTTGATAAAATGGACACAATTTTGTCCTCTCCAACAATCATCCTGCCGGTTCGCATGCTGACTGATTTGATATTGGCTTTGGATGACAATTTCTCGAAGCTGTCCCTTACTCTGGCATTTAATTCACCTCGTTACCAGAAAGTGGATTTTCCCATGCATGTCTTCGAAACTACAGATAATGCTCACTCTCTCAACGATGATTTACATCCTATGACTGGTTCCTCCACAATTTCATTAATGTCAAATCAACCATCTACGTAATCATCTCCGGGTGGCCTTGGCGGAGATCACTACCACCAGGCTGCTCGGTTATCTCGCATTAACAAATTGGGATTAAAGAAGCAAGAGGCAACTCCTAATTCAGCCTTGGGGTGCATCTTTGTTCTTCAATGGTGACATCTCATCATGGACCTGTTTTGCACAGACCAGGATCTCTTTCTAGTACCCAGCGACAGGTAACACAAGATGCAGCACCACCTCATGCCTGCCTTTCACCAAGCTTGTACACTTTGTCAGTGGCAGGTATTAATGGGTCTCCTCACATCAGCTCAAGATCTGAGATCCAAAGGCCGACTCTAACTTCGTCCGCTACAACAGTTTCTGGCTCCATTTATTCGTTGACAGAATCCTATGGCCTTAATCATGCTCCCGATTCTTCCCCGCCTGAATCTTTGTTGGTAGTCAATGCCAAAAACACAGTTGAAGAAATATCATGACAGGGCTGGGGGGCACATCTGGAGGACCACACTGCCTCTGATCAGCACCACTGGCACATCAACAATCTGGAACTCGAAGCACTCATCCTGGCCATGTATCATTGGCGGTCCTGTCTTCAGTGTACAGTTCTGCCATATCCACAGACTACATTATGGTCATCTGGTGCCTTCGCAATCAGGGGACTCCTCATTTGTCATCCCTACTGCCACAGACCTTCCGGTTCTTTCAGTTAGTGGATCGACTTCATCTGAAGTTCATTGTCCTGCACATCGTTGTAGCAACACCCTGGTGGATGCACTCTCCAGACTGGATCCACGGAGTGGATGCTCCAGCCCAATGCCTTCACTCTGGTTTGCCAGCAGCTCAGCCACTCATTGACCTACTTGCCACCAGCCAAAATTATCAGCTTCAGGCCTACATCTCAGGGTTTGAAACTAACAGTTTTAGTCCACTAGTCCTTATAATGATAACATATAGCAAAACCCTTAAAAACGGCAAATTTCATTGGGCAGTATAGCAAAGACTACAGGACTAGTGCCAATTTCTAACGCTGACATCTCCCTGGTCCCATACCCTCTGTATGCTCTGCGCACCATTATCTTGCAGGCTTACGACCTTGCCGGTATGGACCCGCCCATTGCCAAAATCCCCATGAGATTTGACCTGTAGCTTCGACCATGGCTCTCCACAGCAATTCTTCCTTCAAGTCCACCATGGAGGGTTGTTTTTGGCGCTCGGATACTGTATTCTCTGGTCATTATCTTCGAGGCGTGGCTCTTGAGGTTGTGCAAGGTGTCCATAGTTTTGGTCCCCAGGTGGTGGAGCAGCAGGTCACAAACCCCAGACGGTCTTGACGTTTACACCTCCGAGCTGACCCTGCGACCTCTCTGGTAGAAATTACCCGAGACGAGAGGGTTTCATTCTTCTGTTCATTCTATCTTCTTGAATTGGAATTTGGTACCGTATATGACAGCGTATAAGCCGAATTTTGAGGACCAGAAAAAAGATTCTGTAGAAAGGGGTCGGCTTATCCACGGGATACACTTTCATGATAGTATTTTTCAGATCGTGATCTGTCAGAAACATCGCCTGAATGACGGTCCGATAGATTACAATAGGTACTTGGCCGATGCCCTTTTCTACTTTTCCATTTTCCATGATTGGACTTCACACCTCCTACTCTTCTCTATGTGGCTGTAGTTTCAGGTTTTCCCACTCAGGATGTTATTTGGTTACCTGGACTGGTTGAGGGTCTATCCTGAAATTCCATGTTAAGGTATGCCCCCTTCCGTTCGTAAAATGCATTAAGGTAGTAATGCAGGATAAAATTTAGTAAAATCTAAATCTCTTTTACGTTGATACTTATCCTGCATTACTACATCTAAAGTGCCCGCCCATCGCCTTGCTACATCCCGCAAAGCTTTCAAATGTTTTTACTAGTGATTATACATGACATCGCTACTTCCGGTCACAACTTCTGCAGCCAAGACTTCTCACAGCTCCATCTTCCTTGTCAGAAAAGCAGCAGTGAAAGCATTCAGGTAGTTATGCAGGATAAGTATCCAAATGTTAAAAATATTTAGATTTTACAAATTCGAAGGGTTGTGTAATCAAATAAAATGTCAAAATTTTATTTTGATTTTATTATTTCCTGTAGTGTCCTATAATTGATTTTATTAGACTTTTAATGTTATTACCCGCACATATCTAATGTAAAAACGAGGAATGTAACAGCCTGCGGATCTTACTGTTTCTTTACTGTCGGTAATATCCTTTTTGTTCATTAAATTAATACATTAAATACATCAGTCCATGAAGGATTTATTAAATATATTTTTGATATAAACAAAAACCTGTAAAGTGGTGATGTTTTACTGCATGACTTTGCCCCGGACATTGAATTTAGAAGCATGACTCAGGTCACTGCAAGAGTCAGCGTGGCTCACACCGATATTGATTATTGAGATGGAAGTGAAAGTTAATTTGACTAGCTGAAATAGTAACATTATGTAGCATGTGTAGAACAGAAAAAGAAACATCATACACCTTAGAACTTGCCAGAAACATTGACTTTCATTGAAGATTGGGCCATAGCTGACTGTTGTCAACTAGAGCCAATTTAAGTACTTCGGTTATTTGAACAGTACTGGCATTATAGAATGTTTAAGGATTTCTTTGGCAGCAGACCCCAAGGTAGCCTTACTTACTTACTTATATTTCCGACTGCAAGCGTATGTAGCACACGGGCCTGGCCAGGCCATTTAATGAGTTTCCGAAAAGGGGAAAAGTGTGTTTGTGCAACCCAGGAGGGGGGCTTTAGGGGTTGCTTATATAGTAATTTTGATTTTGAGATTTGGAATGAATGCCAAGAGTGGGTGGAGGACGAACTAAGGGAACTGTGTGTGTTGGATGGTTGTTAGATTAGGTAGTTTTGGTTTTAATATTTTATTTGGGTTTAAATGCGACTAATTAGTCCAAGGTAACCCAGACACAGTGATTTTTATACTATTGTGATCTTTTCCGGCTCTGTGTGACAATATACATCGCTATCTATTGTCTGTTAGATGATGGGAGCCTTTGATCTTGCCTCCTTCCATGAAAGAATGTGTCATTATATGCCATTATAAGTGCAGTGAACCTGAGGTGACAATAAATCTAGACAAGTCTAGACAAAAATATGTTAATTTGGTAATCCTCTCTCAATGCTACTGTCGAACCCATTTGAGAGAGCTAGTTGCGAGCTGTGCCATTGCTGTCAAACTCAATCGACAGACACATAGCATAAGGACACCCTTGAATAGAGCTTGCAATGACTGTTTACCAATTAGGCTATGCATATAATTTACATTACGTTTGAAATGCATAAATTCTTAGCTTGCTAAATATCTAAGCTTTCAGTTGTTTATTTACCTCAATAAGAAAATCCCTTGAGTTAAATAAATGTATCAGCCAAATGTCTCAGGTGTCAGTCACTCGTAATGGCCATTGTTGACTTGGGACACTTCATGTTGAGCAGCATGCAGTCCAATATTTTCTTTATAATGTTTCTAAAAAATTAAACAACTTTTGCTTTCATAAATTATAAACAAAAATAACCTTGATTGTTTCATCATTGATTGGATGCAACGGCCACGACTATGGCAATGGTTGTAAACAAACAACTCTGTGTGCATCATGACCCAGTAATACTCATATATATGTTGCAATCCTTTTGCAGTATCTAGCTTCATTCTCTAGAATTTTTTGTGGTTATTTCATGATTAAGAATATGTCTGGCTAGCTTTGTCTTTCTATTTGACACGTACTGATAAGGGTTTCACGTGTCACACAGCTATCTTGATGAAAGTGACTCATCCAAATCAGTTATCTGTTGATTATATTCTCCAAATATATATGATAAATGTTTTATGATCATTACATTTCAATATTTATACTCGATTGTTTGGCCTTAAATTTTGTTTGTGAATATGAAAAACAATTTGACGTTATTAATAGATAAGCTGAAGATATATTCTTAGTTTTCAGGGAAACAGTTGATAAACATAATCAATGATGAATGAAGAATCTGCCCAAGTCCTGTAACATCTTTAAGCTCTATCTCTGCAGTTATTGTCTGAAAAAGACTTATATTTGTTATGTAAAATATTCTCTTTATTTTTCATTGTTTCCCTTAAGCTTTTTGATTAAACCAACATAATTTCTTTTTCTGAATTCAATTTAAATCAAATAATCATTTTTAAGTTATCAGATTTTTTAGTTTTGACAGGACACAAGCCATTGGACCCTATTGTATGTGTTGTTAAGGATTATTAAAATACCAATAGTGAGCAGGTAATTGTCAATTTTGTCTGGCACATCTGTTGTTATGTGACAGCTGGGAGTTTTACATTACCAACTCGATGCTTGACTGTAATGGTAGCCTGAATTGTGATGTCACAAAAGTGTAGATCAGTTTGTATTGTGTTGGTTTTATGGCTATTTCACCTTGGAGTACTAATAATCAACTGAAAAGTTTAGCATACTTGCCGGTGCTGTTGTCAAGTGACTCTAGTAAATGTCCAGTTCTAATGCTACATGATGGTTCCTGCTCAAAGTCGCTGTGTCTATTGTGAAGTCAGACCAAGGAAGAGCCATGTAGTAAGGCTATTGTATTTAATTACTTGGTTCATATTTATGCTGACTCAACATTTCCCAAATGTGTTATGAAATTAAGAGCTTGAGGTTCAGAGTCCTGTTGAGTGTATTGTCAGTGATGCAAAAAGTACTGAAGTTGGGTTCTAAAGGATGAAAATGTACCCTGTTACATGTTATGCACTTCACCCTACCAAGAATTCTATTCAGATATCACTTAAATAAATTTGACTGTTGGCAATCTGTAAAACGGAGAAATAAGAAAAATCAAACTTGTGTTTCTTTTGCAAAATTTACACTTTCAATTACTGATGCTTTTTTATGTCAATGATTAATGATGTAGTATGTTGTTGGACGTAAGATTGTACGGTCCAGTGTCAGCTCTCCACAGGTATGTGGCCTTGACCTTGTTTCTTATCTTGATGGTTTGTCCCATGATATGCTTACCTCATGTAGTGATACATACCTTCATTCTTTAGTCACGATAAGATGTGTATTAATTGGCACAATTTTTGCCTGAAATCCTTCAAATTCCACTTGGCCATTCATAGGTGTTGCTATCAATAAGTTTGTGTTCAAATTGCCTGACTAATGTTATCATATCTTGGTATATGAACTGTCATATCATATCCTCTGCACGCGCAAACCGGGACATCCTCTGCACATGCAAATCGGGATATAGTCTGCAGGCACAGACCGGGTTCAAACTTAATTTCTGACCATTATGCATAAAAGGTTGGTCATGTGACCCCTTTTAGTTGGCATACCATGTATTATAGATATATGGAAAACCCTTTAGAAATGTGCAGTCGACAATATGACTAAAATAAATGAAAAACCATCAAATTAATGACTTCTTAGCCACTTGGAAGTTATGAAACAATGTAAATTTTCGTGATTTTTAACAGTCTGTCAGCATGGTCAGTAACCCCTTATACTTCAAGACCAATAGTGAAAACACCAAACAGTAAGGTATCTGCGGAAAGAGCAGAATCTGGACTGTAATCTCAATACAAACAAAGGACAGGTGAATAAAATAGGACAAAGAGTTAAGTGATCCTTAGGGTATTACCTCTCTGACTGTTTCCTAGAAACTAATAGTTTGTGCTATTTCAAGGGATTTACCTGGGTACTTCTGATACGTCCCTAAACTGGCCTAATTCCCAAAAATATTTGTTGTAATGCCCTACTGTCCTATAACACTGCTTATTAAAGCATGTTAAGTAAGAAAATGCAATTTAGGAAAAATGGTTTGAAGATCAAATGTTTGGATAAGGGAGTCAGTATACAAGCATTGATTGTCAAAAGATAATGTCAAAATGTCCATGTTTGCAAAACAATGTCCAAATGTTTTGTAAGACTTATTAACCAGTACTTTACAGATTTCATTGCCCTAGTGGAGATTCTGCCTTACAATTGGTCCCAAGCAACTTTATCGATCGGTTGGGTCAGACTCAGTGACTTGTTTGATTGTGTGTCATTGTACCTCAAAGACATGAATTCATTGCTCATAATATCAGTCACTGGTTTGTCTAGTCCAGAGCCAAGTATTTACAGGCTGCCGTCCAAAAGATGCAATTTTGTGTATGGCGTTAAAAGGAAACAAACAAGAATGAAAATTTATGAAAAGAGTAAGGTGGTTCCCGCTGGAAAGACAGATATTTGTGTTTCCGGTTTGCTGAACGGGAATCCTTATCTGGAGCTCCCTACAATATTTTCCCCCCAGTATTGTCCATAGATTAAGCCTCCAGAATAAGTTTCACTACGGAAAACATTTTTTTTTATCATGTTTTAAGAACTATAACAACTGAAAAAACCCTGACCTTCCTACCCCGTTTTGGGATAGACTTGAACATGTTTATACATGTGTTTTTTTTCCTTATCATTTGTTTATTTTGTTGCAGGAGAATGAGCTGAAGACGCTGGACAACTCCGCCCAGATCTTCAATGCCCTGTCTGATGTACCAGGAGATGTGCAGGATGTTGAAGATCTCATTGAGGTAAGAGCTGCAGATCTATACTTTCCAACTCCCATATGATAACTGTGCCAGGTAAATAGTATGTGGTATAACCAGCCAATATAACTTGGTCTTTGTAGTTCCGCAAGTCTTTTGAAAATTGATCTTTAGATCCCACTGACCCTAAGATATTGAAAAGTTGAAAAATAGACTTACCGTATTCGACGTAATAAGCGCCCAGGGCGCTCTCAAAATTAGAAATAGGGGGCTCTTATTAGAATAATATTTTGTCGAAAAAAACAGAGTTGAAAGGTAAATTCCGTGGTTTATGCTGACAGCCTGAAATGTTTATATATGAGAGATATATTTTTCCAGAATTTAATTGCCCATAATTAGGGGTGCATATAACACACGAGTGCGTATTATACGCGAATAAATAAGTATTGTGTACATTGATCAATCGGAAAGGGTGCTAATTGGGATTGTTCACGAGCCAATACATTAGCAAATATCGCCGTGGGCGCTTATTAGAGCGGGGCGCTTATTACGTCGAATACGGTATATATGTTTTTTGTCCCCTGAAAGCACTTTTTGCACTGCCCACAACCTGCATATGATAGGTTTAACTGCGAGATTGATGAAACAAGACTCTAACACCACAAATATCTGAAATGTCTTTTTCCCCCACTTGTCGAGCAGAAGGACACATTAATCATTAAACCAAGCATTAAAAAAGATCTAGCTTTACAGTAACTTGATAATTTGCTGATTCTACATAAATAACAAAAGGACAACAAACAACCATAAAACACATTGTTTATCGATTGTTAGTGTGTGATGTGGTTAGTTTCACATTTTGTCCAACTTCCCTGGCTGCGTGTGCACTGCAAGGTATCATTTGGACAAATTCGTCTTTTCAAAGCAGAAATAAGCATGAATAGAGAAGAAATTGTCTGGAACATGGCATAACCAGGATTAATAGTGGTCTTTGTGTGGCCCGCTATCATTGGAAACCTTTGTGCACTCTATTTTACTGGATACATACTAAGGCTGAAACGTTTCACAAATGCACTGGAACAACTTGATTTCAAGACTCAACCTTATGATGCATGGCATGCTTCATAATGTATCGGTATGTATCAGTCTCAATTTGGTTTTCTTTCACTGCACATAGTATGCCCTTAAAATAGCTATTAATGTGAATACTGTAAATCTTGAAATTAACACGAGCGTGAATTAAATGCGAAAAATGCAAGTGGTCTTGGCTCGCTTTTTTAAACATCGTATTTATATCAACAATAAGACATTTTGGATAGCAGAAATACCAACTTAGACATATGCTGAGATAAACAACTATGTATTCCACATCACTGTTTATTGAGCAGCACTTGTAACAAGTATATAAACAATGTCATTCAAACACTAATTACATCCTGTAAATTGCCACTGCTGAGGTCAAGACAAGAGTTCTACTCACTTATGTCATCACTGATCACACCTGCAAGTCCAGACAGACGCCACCCACACAACATGGTGTCTTTGTTCTTTGTGACTGCGTCAAAGGCCGACACGAGCCAGCGAGCATGGATTATTTTAGCGGAAGTACTCTACTCAGCGCTAATAAGCAGTGCTTTTTGGTGTGTGATTGGATTAATGTAAGGTTGGATTAAGGTGAGGATTCTCCTGTAAACCTGACAGAGGACATTTTCTCTAACATAACAATATCCACTGAGTCTTGAGAGGAGGGAGGTGTCGCATTCATATTGAGTTGTATTTTTGGCCAGGGGCCAGTTCGCATTCTTTTGGAGACGCATTAATTTCACGATTTACAGTATTTGATAGAAAAAAGTCATTTTGGTAACTGAAAATGGCCCTTATGTAAGAAGTTTCACAAGTTCACCCATTTCATATAGATTTTAATTTTAATATGACGACTGATAAATGCAGAAAATGTTTCTAATGTTGTAATAGTATCCAGGATGACAGAGATGTCTATGATGATTATGATGATATTATTTACCCCGACACAGAATGGGAGGGAGGGTGGGGCGGTCGGGTAGCCTAGTGGTTAAAGCGTTCGCTCGTCACGCAGAAGACCTGGGTTTGATTCCCGACATGGGTACAATGTGTGAAGCCCATTTCTGGTGTCCCCCGCCGTGATATTGCTGGAATATTGCTAAAAGCGGCGTAAAACCATACTCACTCCCCCCAGAATGGGAGGGGAATTATAAGCAGAGGTCTTGTCCAATCCTTTCCTCAATCAATCGATTGTTAGCAGGATTGAAGACATTTGTTCTTGATGTTCATGATGTTGGAGCTATTGTCTATTGACAGTTGACTATTGAGCTCACCAGGTCACATCCCAAGTGATCTTGACCTTGTGTCACGACCAGTTTGTACATGATCTGTTGTCTGATGTTGTCTACCATCATCTCTGCAAAATGATGGACCAGTGATACTGAACATGACTTACATGTTCATTCCAATATGACTGCAAAGTTTCTTCAAAAGTATGTCTTGGAAGGAGGAAAGTGAATGAGTGAGATGGGTTTTACACCTCTTTGACCAGTATGTCACTAATAATACGTCTGCTATATTTGGAAGGTACACTGAAGTGATGTAAACTTACTACTGTGGTCAAACCAAGAATCATACGCTTGGTTTTGAACCCATGATCATGAGGGTTATTATGATTCACTCGCGTATTCGGTGAATCGTACCGTATCCCTTCATGGATTGAATTCCTTATTCACTGTCACTAGAATCTAATAGTTATACAAAAAATTAAAAGACTGTTTTTCACTTGAATTCATCTTTTATTTATCAAAGCAATATATGTAAAATGGAACATATATCAGCCATGTATGGCCAAGTTTGTTATTACCTCTTCATTTACCTGAATTCGCTGAAGGGATACGATGTATTCTTTTTCTGATTAAATCCTCCTTGGGGCACTTATTGCATTTTCCTTGCTCAAGAAAATCTACATGACATAGTTGTAACCATTTTCCTTAATAAAAAATGTTACCACACAAAAAACTTCGTTTTTGTATGATATACGACCACCCTTACGGGGCCTCACCCCCAACGGCGCCTCACGCCAGGGGGAGCAACTCTCACCCAAATCACTTTCCTTATGTCATCTGTAAGAGACAGACGTGTTGATTTTTCACACAAGACAAAAATAAGAGAAATCTATCGTTCGAAAGAACCATCGCTGACCAAAATGTATGTATGGTACATTTCTTTCATTGCAAAGGCGTAATACCTCGCATTGTGAAGTTATAGAGTTGTAATTATACGCCACGTGCACGGTACCTTTGAATTCAAATGGCCGTAATGGCGTCCATATTGTAGTTCCACGGGCTGATACATGTAACACCAAGGCCATTAAGAAACGGCTTGGGGTTTTGTTATATCATACAGCATTGGTCTACAATTTTTTTCCTTTACAAAACCCAAGGTGGTGTGTTAATTCATAAACTACACTTACCTTTTTTACGGGTTTTACACCTTAGCGCGTAACACGCCCCTTTGGTGTTATAATTATACTACGACATTGGCTATTAGTATCGCGTTACAAATCACATTCTACATTACGCCTTTGCTTCTAGTTTCACAATTTATGCACGTATCTTTCCGATCTTTATATCGCACTGATACACGTTAATACCCTTCCCGCCCACCTCAGAAATTACGGTCTTGTTTACAAGACCTTCAAACTGTGTACGGGTTGTTCTAAGACAGGCACAAACGCTGCCTAATATGTCTGGTGGAGGACATTGCCTTTACCCCCCGGGGCCCCCCAAAAGAGACAAGTTGACTTGTTCCACTTTTAAGAGGTCTATTAAAGGTGGGGTTAGATATCAGATCTACTAAGACATCCCCCCCTCCCCATCTAAAAAGGGTAAAAAAGCTGCCGAGATTGTCTTCCCAGCTCCCTCTCCGGGGGCCGGGGGAGAAGGCTCGAGGGTCCCCGTAGTAAGCACTGCGCCTTCTCCTGCACTGTCTTTGGCAGACTTTTCTGCGTTACTAAGTCGCCGATGGCGTCGATGATGGAGGAGGTGAAGTCTCGGCTCCGGCAGGAGCTACGGGCTGAGCCTTCCCCGTTGTTGGCGCCGGACGCGGCTTCGAGATCTGTGTTATGCCCGGCGTTGGCCGAGGCAGGCCACTTGGTCTCGGGGACGATCCGAGACCGGGCTTCGGCTCCGGCTCCAGGTCGCTCCCCAGCGGAGCATACCAATACACCCCGAGTTCAAGAAATACCTGAGGTTTTCTTTCGACGGGAGGTGTTATCAGTTCAGGGTTCTACCATTCGGGATCTCCACGGCCCCGAGGGTGTTCACCAAGCTGATGTTGATTCCCGCCCAAGTGGCCAGGTCAAAAGGTCGGTTCTGCCATCCGTACCTCGACGACTGGTTACTAAGAGCTCTATTGCAATCCCTGAGTCAGATAGCTACACAACAAGTGATAGATATTCTGATCACTCTAGGGTGGATGGTCAATCTCAAGAAGTCAGATCTGAGCCCCACTCAGAATCTAGTCTTCCTAGTGGCTAATTTCAACACGGTGAGAGGACGTGTATCTCTGTCACAAGATATCAAGTCCCTTAAGCGCAAGTCACACTGCTCGTACATGGCTCCAGTTACTGGACAACATGGCGGCGACAGTGGATTTGGTCTGGCGGGCGCGCTTGAGAATGAGTCCCATTCAACAAGCACTCCGTCGACTTTGGGCGAACTTTGGAAGATCTCGAGACTGTGCTCGAGACTCCGTAGTGGCTCATTACACACCTCCAGTGGTGGACCGAGGTCGGGAATCTGTCCCGGGGGCTCCCCCTCGACACTTCCGTTCCGTCTCTCACAGTTCAAACAGACGCGTCACTCTCCGGCTGGGGAGGCGTTCTGAATGATCACACTGCCTCAGGACTATGGTCCCAGCAGGAGATCAAACTGCATATCAATGTGCTAGAACTGAGAGCGGTCAGGTTGGTGTTCCAACGCTTCCCGGATCTGCTTCGTGGCCAAGTGGTTCGTCTAGAG